CCCAATACAGACCTTGTCGCACTCGCATAGGATACTGTATACACCCGGTGTCCTTGGTCCCAGGCTATCTTTGACCGGCGGGAGGAAATTAGATAATTTTTTTTTGCAGGCAGGCCCACTGATTTGATGTGCCGGGACAGCACTCTGCTGATTCTGTTGAATATAGGGTAGGACATAGGGCAGGAAGGCGACTGTGTCCGGTTTATCATCGGGCCGACTGATGTTCGGACGACGGTTACGAACTCTGCGGATCTGCCGGTTGTTGTAACCGTTCTGCCTGAAAACGTCCCTCAGGAGTACCAACTCTGCATGTACGCTGTCTTGATCGCATAGAGCTCTAGCCCTGTGCACCAATGTGGAAAAAATAGCTTGCTTGTTGGATGGGTGATGGTGGGACGCAGCGTTAAGGGTGAGGTTTGTATGGGTGGATTTGCGGTACACTCTACGGCCCAGAGAACCGTCGGGTCTCCTGTAAATATCTATATCAAAGATTTCGGTCTCCATTGTGAACTAAAGATGGAGGCGATACGTTCCTCCGAAACGTCGGTTAACACAATATCTACACGACGCTACACCCCAGAAGACTGCTTTCTTCCACTTTAAATTACCTAGCAGTGCTCGAGTGCGGACTAGCATTGTGATTGAGGAGCACTACACCGTATGTCAGCATTCCACACCTTTTGTTCTGAATGGCCCTGAACAGTATTTTTTGTTTCGCAATACACTTCTAACGTTATTGTGGTCCCTTGTTGCATGGATTCCACCACCAGCACTCCCTTCCTGTCCCAGAAACCACGTGCCATCAGCTGTCTAGGAGACAGACGTTCGTTTAATTTTTTGTTCCGGCTTGTTCGGTGAATGTGTGTGCATCCACTAATTTGACTGCTCTTTGGTTTCAACATTCACAAATGAAACCCAGCTTTCATCACCTGTTACTCGTACGATGTGACTGAGAATTCGTCGCCATCTTTGTGGGATCATCAAAAAAAAAAAAAAGGCAAAGCCGAAGTCATTCTCTGCGTTTTCTACGCACCTGTGTCATTTTCGGAACACATATTGCGCAAAACTTGTGACAGCCTATTCTAACTATGGTAATCTCGTACAGCACAGTGCGTGAAATTTGTGTAAATTCAAGTGAAGTTCTAAAACTGCAAAGCGTCATCTTTCACAAAGTTCTTTGCTCAATACTTCGAAAAAGATCACTCATTCACTACAGATGGCCGACCACTTCGATCTTCATCGTGAACATTTGTTCACCAATCTTTGAACATTCTACGCCATTGTCGTATAGTTCCTTCACTCATTACATTTTGGTTGTAAACCGCCGCGCATAATTCACGATGGATTTCCGCAGCACTCATATTTTTAGAGCGAAGAAAGCGGATAACAGCGCAAATTTCACGGTTGGCTTCATTATCAATAGCAGGACACATCGTAACTATGTAGAGTCAACAATAAACACTAGGTGACCAGTTATGTGATAAGTTTACAAGGCAATTAGTCATGTGACGCTGCCTCGCATGAGCGACCTCTCCCCCGCTCCTACAGTAGTCACTTAATATACTCGTATATGGTGGTTACTTTCCGAACAGCCCTTGTTTCTTCACATGCAACATACGGTCATGCAACCATCCAGTTGGAAGCTCGTATATAGTCTCTACGGCAGAGACAGTGCCTACCAGACTAAGAATAACTGATCAACTTCACTGCGTTTATGCATTTACCCTCCAACTCCTTGCAATGAAAGGGCTCTGCTAAAGCCCTTCAAAACTTAATGCTGGCGTAAATCGGCACGAACTACTGCTTTAAAGGAAATAAACATTTTCTGAAGGCTTTCATAAAGAACAGCAGTTGAAATGAGCCGATCAGCTTCGCCATGTCGGTCCTTCCGCCTGTCGGATGTAATTTGAGAACCGCTGAATGTATTAGTTTCATTAGATCTGACAATGGGGACTTAGATTATAATTGAGCTACACGTTCAAAATTCTGGTTCAAATCGCACACCAATAACGGATACTTCATATGAAGAGATACTTGCATTTCTGTCCCTAATCGCAATATATTTAAAGAAGCGAAAAGTGTCGAATGAAAGTTATACAAAAGAACAAGAAGTTCTAGTCATAGTCAAAGTCACATTGCGACTGACGGTCGGTCGGTCAGTCAGCCAGCTAGTTTTGGTGTCCTGCCAAATCTGGGGATTATGACCAGATATTTATTACTGTTCGACAGTTTCGGTCTTGTTTTTGTGGGGCGCCCTCTTCCCAGAAGAAGTTCGAGGAAGAATCTCCTATTCTCCTTGATATGACACGGACCACACATAAAACGACGCGTCCAACAATTCTTATACTGTTGCGTGTGTAATAATTGCAGCGGTAACGTTTCTATAAAGCCGTTGCGTAGTAAGGATAGGGGAGCCGTTGCCTAGCGACGACAGGAGTTACATATACAGACACAGAGTGATGGGGGGATTTATGAAGTACCCCGTCAAAATTGGATCAGGTAACATGATGTACATATCACGTCTCACAAAGATTGGTTGCTATTCAAAAGTTAGCAGGGCGGATCACAGACAGCATGGAGATCGCATGAGCCTACTTTCATTTCTCCAAAAGAAGAAAAGCAGCTAATAAAGTACGACGTTGGAGTAGACACCAATGGCATATCGTTCACAACAAAATTAGTGAAAACAGGTCAAGTGGTTGAATGGTGCAATGTGAGTTAGTGTATATACACACACACACATATACACAGCGGCGCTAATGTGTCTCCTTTTATTTCTTAGTCCCTCATGGCACAGTGGTTACTGTTTTTGCCACCTGGTTTAGCACTGAAGAATCCGCATTACGACTACGGAGTGGGGCAGGGAGACAGGCGATTTTAAAAAATTCTGTGTATTTGCCAAATTAAGTATACAGCAATGTCGTTTATTTTGTGAAGAGGATTTCCTCCAGGTGATCACTGTCTCTGTGCAGGCATTCCTGTAACCTTCCACGCATGTCTCCCACGATGAGGCGTAGCATTTCCGAAGGAATTCCGGAATTTTTTACTCACAAATTCTTTCCTTTGGCTCTTCAATATTGGGTGGGGGATGAGTACAAACTCTGTTCCTTAAATTCACATGCTGACAGGTCTCGGGACCTTGGAAGCCAGAGAATGTCACAATTCCTAAAGACGATGCGGTTATGAGAAAAACAGTCGTACGACGTAACCTCGACGGAAACCAACGGGCCTCACTAACTTGAGAAAACTTAGCAGCTAGTGCATCAGTAAAAACTGTTCCGATCACGTAGGCACAGCGGCCTGACGTCACATTTTTGCCCCTCCGCTATCACCTTCAAGAAAAAAAAAATATGGACGGATGCCATAAAATGGAATCGCATACCACAGTGTTACCCATCACAATGAAACGGTTGCTGGTCTAGGCGGCGAAATCTCCCCCCCCCCCCAAGGCCAATAACAAGAGTTTTGTTTATTCACTTCATTAGACATCGATGGACTGTGAATAAAGTCGTCGTCACGAGCCATTTCGGTTTGCTTTTACCGACAGAAATTTTCATGGGTAAGGAGATTCCGAATCGATTTTGCATTACATGTGCCTTATAATGACGGAAATTTAAGTCGTGGTGCAATATATTCGTCGTACACTCCAACTGGATAAGTTCAGCAACAGTGCATACCAACGCGCATATCAGAACGCTGCGACTCCGTATGAGAGCGGTCCTGGCAGCTGCGACGTTTTCTGGTATACGAGCGCGACCTCAAAACTATCGTTGTTTTCCTAAAAATGCCTTTACGGCGAAAGCACGCTATAAAGCACTCTACGATGTACTGTTCCCTGGTTACAAAATAGCATGATGTGGACAAGAGGATGTCGAGTGAAACAAGCCCTCCTCACCACACCGGTACCCAGACACCCTGTGCTTATAACAGCCCGTTTCCTTGCCCCATCCCATATTTCGCATGATTCTCATAACATGGAAAGATCATTTCCCTTCATAGCACTGACAGATTGTCATCGTAATGATAAGCTAATGTGTGTTTCCTGTGTATATTTATAGGAAAGAATGGGAAGAAGTCTTAACTGTGGACGAATATCGATAAAGGAATAAAAGAAATAAGATTCACTGAGTCTGAATTCGTTTGCTGCTACACTAAGGGCCCAGTAGTGCTTCAGCTGAAAGTTCAGTATGGCTTATCAATACACGGTAACAGATCTTAAGCTTTCACGAAGGCTGGATGCACTGAAATCTTCCCTGGCGATCGGCTGTTCACCTTCACACAGAGACCGCGCGAGAAGACTTCAATGCATTAAATCTATTAAATCTATTAAAATAAATTAAATTAAATCTATTAAATCTGCAACGCAATATCGAAAGTCTAATGAAAAGGTCATCCATATTTCGCAATTCCAGAGTGAAACCATGGGTTTATCCCCAATCCAAATCACTCTTCCGTGTGTATACTACGATATACTGTCTCAGAATTAATTCTGAATCCGAAAAGGAAGACAGGTAAGACCGTGGACGAAAGAGAAACTTTCCCACCAGCTCGGTGAATCAGCCTTACGGCTTTAGTCGAAGACAAACTTTCCTACTGTCGGATATTCACCGATACTACAAATAATTCAAGGACAGATAATTTTAAAATATATTATCACTAATATGTTCACAGGCGTTACGAATAAAACAACGGTAGACAATTTTAAAATAATCTATCGTTAATATGAAGAATGCCGTCGTCTGGGATGAGGCGCCGTGTTGAATCTTGTGTGAACCGAGGCGATACCTTCCTCCAAAACGTCCGTTCACACTAGATCTACACGGCGCCACATCCCAGAAGGCAGCATTCTTCAAAGTCAACCTGTGAAAACCTCAAATTCCACATATCGTTAATATATTTGTCGCTCTGGAGTCCCAGAAAGCGTGTCTGATGTGGTAATTTTGTGACAATCAAGACAACAATGGGGAACCTGTGGATGAAGTAAATGAAGTTCCACTTACCGCATAATTAAACTGCGAGTTGTAAGCACGGTCGTTGGCCCGGATTCGGCGCTCCGTGTCTGAAACACAACACAGCTATATTAATTGTAGCATTCACCAGTACGGTCTTCAGCCAAACTACAGCTGTTGGCAGGAGTGTCTTAAGCATGGGCCCTTTTTCATATTACATGCCAATCATTTCAGCAGTTGACTCCACTCCCGTTTTCAGGAGACTTCTCATTATATTGCGGCTTTTGGATTATTTTATTTTCAAACATAAGTTTGGCAACGGTTAGATTCGAAACTGCGACCTTGTGAATACTTGGCTATGAAACTAGTTAGCGGAGTGATATAACACACTTTTATCTCTAGTAAATGAGGTATGCAAGTCGCAAAGTGCATCTTCGTGCCAGAAGTAGAGCAGAATACAGCGCAACTCGCTCAACGGTGTATCCCCTCCCACAGACAAGCAGATGCATCCATAGATTTGGCTACTTTCTCTTTACATCTGGGTGGCGATTCTCCCATTCTAGGGGCGGTAAACTTTATCTTTCAAGCGGTACACCTTCCCACGCCCTTTCGCAAAACGCCCCAGTTAGAAAAGTCTACAGATACTACACAGAGGAATATACGCTGGACTGTTCGGATGCTGGAAAGGTGAGAAGAGACACGCGAGTCCTAACGGGCGACATCTCGATAGCCACTATTCAGGAGCTCAGACACATGTACAAGCCAGTCACGTAGTAAAATCTAGTTCAGAAATCTGCTGTTACAACATTTTATATTAACAAACAAGTCAATGGAAGAAGTAACAAACATTCAGACAGTCACTCTCGCCGTTTATGGAATCGGAAGGTCCTGTGTTCACGATACCCAACACAGGCTTCATTCTGAGCCAAATGAATCTGTCCATAACCTCACACCTATTTCTTTAAGATTAGTTTTTAATGCCATCCTAGCTCGCCTACACGCTATATCATTACCCTAATAGGCCATGTGCCGGTCACGGTAGCAGAGCGGTCTAAGGCATGTACTGTCTTCACTCGCTCGGAAGCCGGAAGCGTGGGTTCGAATCCCACACAAGGCACGAATGTTTGGTTTGTGTGTGTGTGCGATTATTCTGTGTCTGTGTTGTCCCGTGTTTAGGTAGAGGCCTTGCGACGAGCTGTAAAATGATCATGAAACTGAGAAATCAGCCCTATGCTTCAAAGTGGGAGCGAGAAAAAAAAAAAGGCCATGTGGCCTGTTACGTTTTCATATAATTTCTTCGGTTTTCTCCCTAAACTTCTCTCCCCTCTTCACTTGTATAATCAATTTTGTGTATTCTGTTGTTCCTCATCTTCTTACAAGTTTCGAATGAGTCGGAAATTCTGTATATATCTCGGCTAATTAATTTTTAATTGTTCTAAAATGTCTTCTTGCATATGATGTAACACCACGTCAGCAGTAGTTCTCATACATTTCACTTCCTACATGGATACAAGTTATGTTGCCATAGGCATATTAAAATGAAAGAATAAACGAATTAGTTAGCTGACAGTCTTCACTCCATAACTCACAAAGTCGATATTACAGCCATTAGGAGGCGATAACGGAAGTGAAAACGCCCTAGACTCCATCGCATAATTTTCGCGCTTAACAGCGCAGCACCCCAACTGACGCCAATGTGAAAACCATGAACACATTAATTTACTTCGTGCAGGATGGCAGAATGCTTACAACCTTCACGTGGAGATGCTATCTGCACTTAGTGATTACGATGTTGTGCTGCTGACAAATGAAGCTGTTGGAGCCGAAGTAACAATTAGCGATGGCAAGCACGACCTCGCCCTTGCGGCTACGGCGCCGACCAAACAAGCCAGGGCGACAACCAGGCGACGCAATACGGTCCTAAAATCTTCTCTGGGTCGATATGGGGATGAGACAGACGTTCCTATCCTCCGTCTTTAGCCCAGCGATCTTTAAGTGCACAGTCAAGATAGTTCGGTCGGTATGGCAACTAAGCAATGGGATGAATGATCGCGGAATAAAGGTTCGACTCCCGGAGGAGGCAAAAGAATTTTCTCCAGTGTCAAAGACCGCCTATGTGCTTCAACTAGCGTTCTGTGTGGGTATCGGGGGTCTTCCTCCCCCGAGAGTAAAACGGCTGAGGCATTCGCCACTCACCCCCAGCCGAGGTTAAGACCGGTGGAGTTATATCTCCACTGCACCGTTAGTCTTCGTGGCGTGATCCTTAATTACGCACAGCGTCAACTTCACCTTCACCTTCACCTTCACCTTTGAAGTGGGCCTATGCCACAGGCCCGCTCATCATAAAAACTACTAACTTCGGATTCTCAAGTAAAAGCATTGTTATCTCATATAGCTAAAAAACTAGCTGCGTAACAGGACATCAAAGTATACGTAAGTTACATCCTTCAGTGCCCGTTAAAAATAAGACACGGGTTTCGGTTTATACGAACACACACATCTGCGTCTCAGCGGGGTTTAAACAGCTGGACGCACAACGAATACCGGACGAAGGGCAAAATCCAAAAACCTAGTAATTCTGAGTATTATACGTACGCCATCGTCAGAACCCTTTAAAATTCCCTGTTGCTATGGAATCCGAAAGTTCATTAACCGTAACACAACCCTCCACCGCCCCCAACACCCTTGGACCGTACACAGTTCACATTCTGCAAGTTACTTCCTCACGACCCATTTTAATTTTCTTGCACTTCTTAATACTGTCATGTATTTAGTGATCAGACGCGGAATTTGGATTGGTAATTGCATTTATTGGCTGGTCACGGCAGCCGAGCGGTCTAAGGCATGTACTACTGTCTTCGCTCGCTCGGAAACCGGGATCGTAGGGTCCGAATTCCACTCAGGGCATGGGTGTTTGTGTACAGGTAGAGGCCTTGCGACGAGCTGATCACCCGCCCAAGGAGTTATACCGAATGTGTAATATCTAGAAAAACCGAAGTGAACGGAGAAGTTCATGGAGGTAGGCCTAGGCCCACTGGGGCTGTAATGCCAAGGGGAAAAAAATGCATTTATTGTGCTCTTACAAACCGTAACCACAATTATCACAAATATTGTCCATCGACCTGTTTATTTTTCAAAACAACGTTTCGGAGATTGGATTGTGCCTCCGTCCTCAGGTAAAACCTATTCAGTTGGGCTCAATCGATAGAGCTAGTCCCTATCTCCGGCCACTTTTGCCGGCTCCAAGATGGGGTATACAAGCCAAACACAGCACAATCCTTCTGCGAGAGCTAAGAAAATATTAAATTATTAAAAGCGCCACACGTATGAAGCCTTGCAGCAGAGAAGTATCTCGACAGAAATAATCACTGAAGGGAAGCAACAATTCTTACGGTATCAACACAAGAAAAAACAAATTCTCCCACTCAAACTACAGTTGACGGAGTTGTAGTGTCTTGACTTCTGCTGCGATAACGGGGTCCAGATGGGAGAGATGTCAAAACTGGGTTGACTGGTCAGATGGTCCAGCAGATGTGTATTTCCCGTATGTGGTGCTGGGCTAAATCTGCAAGACCATTTTTTATTGCTAGCGGGGTGGGACTAAGTCCCTTGTACTGTGGACACTTCTGGCCTATTGTACCAGCCCCAGATGATAAGTGAGGGTGATTGTGGAGCAACTGGTGGAATGCCACTTTGCAGGGGAAACCGTAGTACTCGGAGAAAACCTGCCCCAGCGCCACTTTGTCCACCACAAATCCCACTTGAGCAGACCCCGGGATCGAACCCTGGGCGCCGCGGTGGGAAGCCAGCGACTAACCGCTTGAGCTATCGCGCGGCCCTGCAAGACCTTTGCTTCATTCTAACATATTTTGTGGCCGTCCTCGCATGCATGTTGGGCTAGTTGTGATTTTTCAAGCAAACCCTGCGTCAGGTTATATTTGTACTCCTTAATACGGACTTCTAAATGACTGCTTGTTTCACCGATGTAACATCTGCTACAATCACATGGTATGCTGTACACACACTGCTTCGTCTGCTGGGCATCTCTAACCGGTCCAATTTTCATCAACGTCCCACGGAGTGTATGTTTAGCCGTGAGATTGATTCATAACCGAAACGGTTCCTGATGCACTATCGCTAATTGACACTCTTTATAGTTCAATATATCAGGCGCCAAGTCTTCCTTGTCTTCACCGTGCGCTACCTGATGACGGATCCCACAACACGCTTCCGTCAATAGGTAGGTTAAAACGTTGTGTGCATTTCTATTCTCTCGTACGTGCTACATGATGCGCTCCTCTCACCCTTTTCGATGTGATCATCTTAATATCTGGCAGGTACAATTCTTTCCTACAGTATACTTTCTTTCACACCCACAGAAGACAGTCAAATTTAGAGTCTAGTGTATTTTAATCTTTGCGTGCTTCGTCCCTTAAAATGAGATAAAAAGTTAACACCCATACAAAATAACAGCGACAAAAAATTCAAAACTGAAATTAATTTGAGCTTAATTTCTCAGCTAAAGTAATTTTTGTATGTCCTGTCGTTCCATAAAGTCTGAAGTGTGCGAAAGCTTAGATAACAAGATACATGATCTGTTAAATAATATGGACTTTTTATGTCACCTAACAAAAAGAACATTTAATTTGGCAAGAACCTGATGCTGATGATGGTAATTGCCGCAAGAGATCTTTCATCTCTGTGGATGCTTGATTAGCCGACAACGGCAAGCTTGCGTCTTAGGGACGATGTTTGCAATAAGGGAACTGAAACTCTACTCACAACATGGAATTAACATGAAAATGAATTCAGAGTACTCAACTGCAGACCACGGTTTCATCAACGTACCTTAGATCTCATTTCGCTGCGTAAACGTGGCAGGAAACCTGTTTTCGTATGTAAAAGTAATTCAATTTATACGAACGATTAAGAGGATCGGACAAGTGAATCATACTTCAAGATGTACAAGAGATCAAATGATTTATGTATAAACTCATCGCGTGTATCATTCGAAAACAAATTGTGAGGATTTTAACCAATTCAAATATGTAATACAATTCGTTCAGCAGAGGCGGGAAAAGGTGTCGGCCTTGTCTATACATCAACTCTA